TGATCAAATTCTTGAGATCGTTGGCAAAAACATTTCTTCCAACTGGTGAGATCTTGGGTAGCATCCTATGAGTCCTTCTGACCCACAGAAATCAGAGACTTTTTTTTATAGATTTTTGTCCTGAGTGCCAAAGTGTGACATTTAATTCCTGTTGCATATGTCTAATCATTACAGGTACTTCTTGGTAAAAACAATTACGATGATGATTCCAACATGTGTCAGAAAAATTCAGAAGAGTGCAGTCCCACCTAGAGTAGGATCCTGTTTAAGCATACCAGTATAAGCCACAGCTTTTCTCATTTTTTAAAAAACAGATAAATGAGGCCCTGTTAGAAAGATCTAGTTCTTGTTTGATAGCATATGTGCACAGAATATATGTATGTCTTGCGCGTATATATGAAAGCACAAGTTGTGTAAGGCTCAGAGCTTGAAAAAATTCTCTTCTGGTCTACCACTCTGAGGAATGCCCCCAGCCATCATTGCCAGTGAGATTTGCAGTCTCAAACTCTGGGAGTTGTAACCATTTTTTAAACTTCCCTTAACATCTGCTGAGGGTGCAATATATCTAGAATGTGAAGCATGATGCCTACAAAATGTATACAGTGTGGGTGGGTGTTTTACTTGTGGTGGACATAGCCTCTTGTCCTCTGAATTCATGTGCACAGAAGGGTATCTGTATCCATTCTATTTTTACTGACCAGTTGCAGTCTGGCGTCAGCTTAATACTCTCATCATCCTTTCCCCATCCCTTCACAGTCTGAACATTTCCATCCTGCAGCCATCACCTCTCTTCTGCTTGGACTTCACTAGGTAAAGTATTCATCAAGAAATTTGCTCTGGGGTAATCAGGTAATGAAGAAACAGTGATTATTTATAAGCTGGAGTCTGGGGAATGGAGTTATTGCTTAATTTTGCTCAAGGTAGCTGGAGCTCAGCTGGCTGAGTCAGAACCTGGTGGCAGATATACCCTGGCAACTTAAACTAATTAAATTAAATGTAGTGTCATTGCCATGTAAGCACAAATACAGTCATGGGAATATTAAGATGAATACTTTATTGTTGATGTTGTTGTGATTGTATAATAAATGATTATTAATAGTATTCCCTCAAGAACCTTGCAAAAACCAGACACACAGATAAGGGAGAAGCTTAAGAATAGGTTTCAGCTTTGAATCATTAGATCTGAAGAGAAATGCTCATGAGAACTTCCTGGAATACATGGTAACTATGAGAACTGTAATGGAAAAGAGAATGTGTAAGGTGAGTGAGCATACTGTACACAAGTATGCAGTAGGCCCTTGGAAAAATGACATGTCTAAAAAAATACATTGATTTTCTCCCGCATCAAATTCCAGCTTTTTCATAGCTGCACAGATATAATAATTATATTAATCATCTTTTCTGTGTCATTTTAATTTGGACATATATGCTATACTGAATTTGCTGTCTTTGTGTTTTTGATTATACTTTCATTTTCATAACTTTGTGACATAGTGGAGCCAAGCAAATTTGTTGCTTTCCCAAGTCTTTAGGAGAACCTTGCCTATGCGAGGATACTAGAAATAGAGTTGGAGGAACTGTTTATTTCTGAATGTATTCCACAGTGATATCCTCAGTATTTACAGAATTCATTTGAAAAACCTAAAATAAAAACTCCAAGCCTATAATAATTATCTTCTAAATTCTGCATCCCTTTGGAATTGTGTTTTATTTGTTGAAAACTTTTCTAGCATCTAACCACAACTGTTAAAAGAAATAACAATTAAACTAATATAGAAAAATAAACCAGCTCTTTGTAAATCTGAAATGAAAATTAGATTTTTTGCATTTGGTCCACTTAGCGTTATGGATGTGGAATTACAGGGTTTAATCCACACTCTGTGATAGGACCAGACTCATTAAAACAAGAGAGATTGCAATTAATCATGACTATATTATTTCACCATGACTATGCCCCCCACCTTGAACCATGGGGAGAAGTAATTTATATAGACTGGAAAGTTGTAAAATGTAATCTAAGTGTAAATTGAGAGCCTGAGCAAATCAGGAATGAAAAGCTCAACTTGGAAACTTAATTATTTTTGTTTCAAATATACATCTGAAATTGGAATGTTTTTGTTCATTTAACATTTGTATATTAACACTTGGATAGATTAGTACCCAGTCCTCAGTTTATCACTCAATAGCCAATCTTCCTTTTTTCATATAGACCCAAGCCAAACACAGTAACAGTTTAAAGCTAACAATTAAAAAGGAAACAAGGTAAACTAGTTGTACAAAGCAAATTAAATGCTACAGATGTTAATTATTTAATTAAGTAGTTATTATTTATAACTTTTCCAAAATTGTATACTCTCACCAGGAGGAATAGAAATTTTCCTTTTTCCTAAGTCTACTTTAACTTTATTAGCCCAGTACGTCCCTTAGTTAGGCAATAAAAATACCATTTTGTTTAAAAGAATATGACCTGTAGCTCCTACAGTACAAGCCAATATATCAAATTATTCAGTCTGAATAAGATGGACATTCTAGAAGAATCTGAACCAAGTTCTTTACCTTCCAGCAACCAGCAGGGCAATCTCCATCTGTCTTAGGACTTTATCACATGGGATGCAAGTGTCCTCCTCCCATCATTAAACTGGCATTAAATCCTGTCATTATTCCACAATAATGGGATGATTTTCAGACAATGTCCCCTGATGTCACCATTATCCCACAATTATCATGTGAATAAAGTGGCATTATTTTGCCACTTTATTCGCAGGATAATTGTGGGATAATGGTGACATCAACGGATGTTGTCTGAAAATCATCCCATTATTGTAGGATAATGACGGGATTTAAAGCTGGCTTAAGGACAGGAGAAGGATGCTTGTCTCCTGTGTGATAAAGTCCTTACATACGCCATTATAGTGCCCCTTGGCTCCCAATAACTCTAGATTTAAATTTAAACATTTAATTAAAAGCTCCTTCAGGCCATATATTGAGGGAGAAGGTATTTTAGCAATATTGTATTCCTCTTAGGAAAAGATTCTGATCCAAAAGCGTCAACAGAAATACAAGAAGTTGAATGTGAAAACTGAGGATCCAAAAGCAATTGTAGACAATCTGCATTTGGCATATGGCTGAATTTTTGAGGTCAGGTGGCTGAATTATTGATATGCATGGAATTACTCACCCTAGTGGCTACATTTTTGTTTTATTTCATGTTTTTAAAATTGTGACAGGCCTTCTTTCTAGGGTAGCAGCATTTATAGAGATAGAATAGAAAGAAGTATGTTGGCAGAGACAAGATAATGATCCACCTGGATCTCATGTTGGTAATCATGTACCTCCTCCTCCTTCCTGTCAACCATGGACCTGGATGATTCGGCTTGGTACAGCAGGCCAAAAGTTTAAAAAGAGCCAGAGCAATCAATTCGGACTCTCTAGGGCAGGGGCCGGCAACCTACGGCCCCCGGGCCAGTTCCAGCCCAGGGCCCTGCGCTTACCAGCCCAGGCAGACTCCTGCTGTCGCTGCTGTGCGCCACCGCCACCGTGCGTTTTGGCCGCTGTGTGGCAAATGCCATTTTGATTTCCAAAATGGTGGCCACGACGCATTTGTGCACCGCGGTGGCAGCGGCTGCAGTGGCAGTGCACGTGGGGGGGGTCGTACGTGTGCATGAGCGCACGCGCAGCCATTCCTCCCCCCTCGGCCCGGCAGAGGGGAGGACTTTGGAGGACCGGCCCCAGGCTCAAAAAGGTTGCCTACCCCTGTTCTAGGGTATATGGGACAATTGTAATTTCTTGCCATCTTTCCAGAGCATGGTAGAACTAACTGAATGTCAAGGCCAAGAATTAACCAAATCATGAATACTGTTGTATGGATTTGCCATATGAAGAAAGTACCAAATCTACTATTTAAAAGGCAGGACCAAAACAATATAGTCATATAAATGTAATAACATAGGTCCTATGAAATTATAAAACCCATATGCAGTGACATCCAAAACCAATAGCATGAGACAGATCAGGCTAAACAGATGCAAAGCTATTTGAAATAGACAAGCTATCCTATCTTATGCATGTTTATTAGAAAATATGTCTAACTAAATTTAATGTGACTTACCCCCTGCATCATATAGACAACAGCTGTAGCTATGGTAGCTTCCATATCTGAGAACCTGTCAATTTGCTCTGTGTTTTAGTCCAAAATTTAAAGGAG